CTACTGCTTTCCCAGGTTCACTAACAGGGAGCTGGATTGAAAGTGGAGTACCCAGTACTTGAACTGGTGCCCATGTGGGATGCTGGCACTGGAGGTAGTGGCTTAACCTATTAGGTCACAACACTGGCTCCAACAATTTTCATACAATACTGGCTAGTAGAATATATATTTGCATTTCAAATTGTTGCTAGTGGGGCCGGCATCGTGGCATAGTGGGTTAATCCTCCGCCTGCGGTGCTGGCATCCCATGTGGGCGCCGGTTCGAGTCCCAGCTGCTCCTCTTCCGATCCAGCTCTCTGCTGTGGCCTGGAAAAGCAGTGGAGGATGACCCAAGTCCTTGGGCCCCTGCGCCCACATGGGAGACCGGAGGAAGCACCTGGCTCCTGGCTTTGGCTGGGCATAGCTCCAGCTGTTGTGGCCGTCTGGGGAGTGAACCAATGGAGGGAAGACCCCTGTCTCTGTCTCTCCCCCTCACCGTCTGTAACTCTACCTCTCAAATAAATAAATTTTTAAAAAAATCGTTGCTAATGAGTTCTTAACCTTTATTTTAGTTTGTAGGTTTCTTTACAAATTTTAATAATCTTATGCAGTGTGAATTTTTGAAAAGCATTTTTGATTCCAAATCTAATGAATGGACAGACATGAAGCTTGCCATAAATGAGCTACTGCTGCAGTTTCTCCCACATCTTTCTTTTTACACAGGAGAGAAACCTCATAGATGTCACTTATGTCCATTTGCTTCTGCCTATGAGCGCCACCTGGAAGCCCACATGCGTTCCCATACTGGAGAAAAACCGTACAAGTGTGAACTGTGCTCCTTCCGCTGCAGCGATCGAAGTAACCTGTCCCATCACCGCAGGCGCAAGCATAAAATGGTGCCAATTAAAGGTACGAGGTCTTCCTTAACCAGCAAGAAGATGTGGGGGGTTCTACAGAAGAAAACAGGCAATCTGGGGTACAGCAGAAGAGCACTGATCAACTTAAGTCCACCTTCCATGGTGGTTCAGAAACCAGACTACCTTAACGACTTTACCCACGAAATCCCAAATATCCAGACTGACTCCTACGAAAGTATGGCGAAGACCACACCAGCCGGTGGCCTCCCAAGGGACCCCCAGGAGCTCCTGGTCGATAACCCTCTGAGTCAGCTCTCGACACTAGCGGGACAGTTGCCCAGCTTGCCACCGGAAAACCAAAACCCGGAGTCCCCGGAGGTCGTCCCCTGCCCCGACGAGAAGCCTTTCCTGGTGCAGCAGCCCTCTGCACAGGCGGTAGTTTCCGCCGTGTCAGCAAGCATTCCCCAGAGCTCCTCTCCCACAAGCCCTGAACCTCGGCCATCCCATAGTCAAAGGAACTACAGTCCAGTGGCCGGTCCGAGCAGCGAACCAAGTGCCCACACGAGTACTCCGAGCATAGGAAACAGCCAGCCAAGCACTCCAGCCCCAACCCTGCCGGTCCAGGACCCTCAGCTTCTGCACCACTGCCAGCACTGTGACATGTACTTCGCAGACAACATCCTTTACACCATCCACATGGGATGTCATGGGTATGAAAACCCTTTCCAGTGCAACATATGTGGATGCAAATGCAAAAACAAGTATGATTTTGCCTGTCATTTTGCAAGAGGGCAACATAACCAACACTGATTGGAACATGAGCACATAATGTTTTATTGGGTTTTGCCTTTTTGTCTTTTGTACCTTGGTTGTTTTTGTTTTGTTTGGTCATTTCTAATGTCTGCTGATTTAAGGTTCATACATTATATTTATAGAATATTGCAAATTTGACAATGGAAAAATTTTCCCCGATTTTTTCCCATAGAAATCTGGTTTGGTCATTTATGTGTTAGCATAGTACATTGATGTCTGTTTTTTCCTTTTGTTTAGATGTAAGAATTGGAGTGCAGTCATAACCTTATTAGGTGTTCATTTAAATTTCCTACATTTCTGATCCGTAAAGACTCTGGGCTTATTCATACTCCTGATATTTCAGTATGTAATTGCAGCTAAAATGCTATTTCTGCCATATTTCAAAATTGAGAGAGTAAGTTATTTTCTCTTACAAGATGTTACAGTTTATTTCAGTATTTAATAGAGAAATTGCCCTTAATAAGGTTGCTTCTAACTGAAATGCTTTTTGGTTCACAAACCTTAAGTTGAATCAGTTTCATTTCAGGTGATAATAAAGCTATTTCAGTGTAGTAAATCTTTTTTCTACAAGAGGAAATATAAAACTATGTCACAAAAGTTCTACAAGGAAAAACTCAAGACTTTAAGTTGAAAATGGTGTTTATTCAAATTTAGTTTAACCACACAGGCGTTATTCATTTTTTTTAATACTAACAGTTTATTCTTAAAACGACAGGTAAACACACGAGCGTGCTAGATACCTTCTCTTTCCTTTCCGTTTGAACCTTTCATGTCATCCTTCTGACAGCGTTAGTTCAGGTGAGGGTAATAACTATAGTGAGAATCTGTTATCCTGTTTCTTTGATGACCAAAGAGGTACAGTGGAAGTCACCATCTTATTAAATGCAGTCCTTCCTAAAAAAAAAAACTCTGAAGTTTCCTTTCTCTACCTTCTATCCGTTTATTGTCATAATTTCCAAGAAAAGGTGGATGTGGAAATGCATGGGAAAGTGCGGAGAGGTCTACGTACAGAAAGGAGAGCCTGTGTGCGCAGAGGTTCCCATCTCCGTCAGAGTGAGCCATCGAAAATGCTGAGTCCAGACTGCTGCTGCTTCGCAGCTGTACCACTCTCCACGCGCGGTGACAGTGCTGTGTGGAGCGGAACTGTGGCCTTAGCAGGAAAGGATGAGAAGTTGTGAAAGTGGATATAAAATTTATTTAAACATGGTATTCGATTTGTTCATAAAATAAGACTTGCTAAATAAATCTAGGGTAACTCATTTTGAGTAGGAGGCTATTGTTTTTATATTGTATAATAACTAGCTTACTTTGAAAGTTGGTCAAATAAAATAACTGTTATTAACTGTTGGTTTCTGTGTACTTTGCAAAAGTCCTGTTTTAAATTTGACTCATATCTTGAAAATAGTAATTGGCTTCTTAAAGAGAATCCCAGCTATTAAGCATTTATTAACCAAAAAGGACCTCTGCGGTTACAGGAAAGAAAAAGGAAATGTTGATGGTATACGCCCATAGAACCCAAGTGCCAAGATGATGACCCTCCACCCTTCCCCGGTGCTGGAGCACAGACGAGGTCCTGCGTCGCAGCTGGGGTGGAGAGCAGCATCCAGGACGCTCTCTCCAGACTGGAACTCCCTTCCCTGTCACGCCTTGTGGGTCTGAGTGCACAGTTGTCCTGCCCTGTGGTTACATCACAGCTCAGATCCGTTGTGGTGCATCAGTTTCCAGATGTGTAACTTGGCTCTAGTGCTTACTGGTTGCCAGAAACAGGTTGTCATTTGGAAGCTTGCTTTCTTCTGTTTTATTCAAATAAAAGCAATACTCCAAAACAGAAAAAATAATTCATTAAGCGAAGAGGAAAACTCAGTAAAGCGGACATACTGACTGTACATCTTGGGCCAGACAGTGACAAAAGCATTTTTTTCCCCTAACAACTGAAGATGGATGTTTTGAGTTTTTTAACTTAAATATGGAAATTTTTCTTTCATGATTAGAAACTAGAATGTAATCTCCTGTTACTGAGAGAGCACAGTTAGTATTCCAAAGGTATCAATTCTGAAAAGCTACAATTGTAAATGCACTGAAACTTCGAAGGAAATCTACCTTAAACTTTCTTGGTATTGTACTTTTTGAAGAGTTTTATTTAAATTTTCCTTGAGTTAAATTCTGTATTTGGAAAAATGTTAGTACCTTCCCTTACATATTGAATGTTTCTCTCATTTTATTTTTAATCCAATATTTTATAGAAATGAGTTGTTGGGAAAAGTTTAACATGCACTATTTATAGTACTTTGCCATTAAAAGGCAATGTTGTGAAACTAAATTTATTTTTGTTCAGTGAACATAAGTTTAGATTTTTAAAGTTGGTAGATAATTTATCTTCACTGATATTTTTTTAAGAAACTGTGAAGAGATTAACAGGGAATAATTTTATTTCAGATTTTACTAATGTAGCTACCACTTCAGATTAAAGTAAAGGCAAGACTTTTACTTTGAAAAAATTCCATTTTATGTTCCTAGTACTATTTCATTTTAGAAATAAGTGTTTTGCCATTTGTCTGCAGAGTTGTTTGACAAAGGGAATATTACTAAAAGAAAAAACTCAGACATAAACCTCATTTTAAGTTCTATAAAAATATTTATCAAATGAATGTGTTGTGAAAGATGATTCCCTGCTAAGACTTTTGCTTTGTCTTAGAGAGTGTATGCTTTCTAGAACTTGTTTGTGTTAATAAGGACTTTGATGTAAAGAACATATTTTGTATGCGAAATTAAAACTTGCATTATTGTTAAATACACTATATTGTTTAGGGATTCCAGAAAGCAGTTTAATGCTAAAATAACTCTATCTAGTATGTAGTTCATATTGGGAATGAGCTTTGCTTTTGTAAAATACGAATAAAATAACACTTTCTAATGACCTCGATTTTTTTTTTTTGAATGTAAGACCCTTTTTTTAACTTACTGTCCAGTATGTACAGTGCTAATAGATTTTATAGCCCTGCTGGCTCCCATGAAAAGATCTATTACAACTGAGAGACGAGGACAGCTCCAGTATCAGCAACTCGTCTCCGTCCAGGTCCCCTTCAGTCAGGATCCATCTGAGGTGGCTGCTGTCCTCCCAGCCCTGCCCCGCCCCCAGGGTTCTGCCCTCAGTGAGGATGGCTGCTTCCCACCGTCGTCATCGTACAGCTGACAAGTGACAGTGATTTCTGTTAGGACAAACGGGATCTTTTAGAGTGGACTGCTTTTCTTTATTTAAAGAATGATCTTTGCCAGTTGACATGATTGGCCTAGAAAATGCCCAGCATACAAAATTGCTTTAACCAAGAAAAATTCTGTCAACAGCAGACATTTGATTGGGAATTCAGAAAATTTAATGTGGCTTTGAGAAGTACTTCTGTACAATGTTATCTTTCTCATAATGGAAATCAGAAATGACATCTGAGAAGTCCGTGGTTTGTTGAAAGGACAGGTATTTTTTGTTTCCTTGTCGTAGGTCTTCCAGAAACTCTGCTTTGAGCTTGTTAAGTTCTTCTGCTAGAAGCTTCATGTTGGAAGGAAGAACTTGTTCATCTAAAACAAACAGACACGTTTAAATTATTTGTAGAAATCGAATCAGTCTGGGCAACAGGAAATTGATTCGATTGCATCAAGACAAACCAGATTTCTATGAGGAACAGCTGTGGAGACAGACAGACTAAAGGCCATGTGAGTGACCCGTGCAGTCCGTCACTGACACAGTCAGACTAACTCGCTATGAGATGTGAGCGGAAACTTTGAGAAGGGGTTCCTGGACAGGCGCCAGGACAGAGTTACTCCCTGACCTAACAGGTAGGCAAAAAGCACACACAGGACAGTTTGGTTTGAAACTGACAAACCGAGACCAGTCACTGAGTACAGCTGCGTATGCCGATGACCGTTCTGTGTGCCCGTGCAGCAGAGCAGCCACAGTGGTGCTGCTGAGTGAGTTGTTTTGCTGAACCACTTTATTGTGTGATAATTCATGACATACAACTAACTCAACTAAATTATACAATTTTTAGTGTACTTCCATATATGTCCATCCCCAGTCAATTTTTAGATATTTTTCTCCTCTCCAAAGCCCTTTAGCGGTCACTGTCCTACCCCTTGCTCTGTCCCTATGCCTGACCTAGGTGACCTCCAGTCTCCTGGACGTTCCCCGCGTCCGTGGCCTTTGTGGCCGGCTTCCGCTGTTCATGTCGAGGTTCTTCACGTGGCAGCGTGTCACAGGACTTCGTGTCTCCACCGGCAGATGATACTGCACCGATGGTATAAGCATTTTGTGTTCCTGTTTTTTTTTTTTTGGTTTATGGACATTGGAGTTGTTCCCACCTGCTGGTTTTAGGAACAATGCTGCTGTAAACATTTGTGTACGGAGATTTTGTGTGAACGTTGTTTTTCTGGGATAGACACCCCTTGGCGTGGAACTGCTGGGTCTCCATCCGAGGGACCGTCGGGCTGTTTTCCAAAGCAGCTGTGCCCCTCTGCGCTCGCACCAGCAGTGCAGAAGGGTTCCGGGTTCCCCACATCTTCACCCACACTTGGGACGTCCTAACTCCTCCCAGCACAGTGGCTGGGACACGCCTGCCTCCTTCAGCTTGCGACTGCACTTCCCTGACGGACGGTGCTGAGTGTTCCTGTGTGGTCACTCGCCTTCTGTGCTCCTGCGGTCTCCTTGGAGAAGGATCTCTCCAGATCCTTTACCCAGTTATTTACATACTTATTTAACTATTTGGGAGACAGAGAACTCCCATCCACTGGCTAATCCACCGGTGCCCACAATGGCCAGGGCTGGGAACTCAAGTCCAAGTCTCCTGTGCAGTGGCAGGGACCAACCACTCGAGCCATGACCTGCTGCCTCCCAGGGTCTGCGCTAGCAAGAAGCTGGTCCTGGGGAGGAAGTCAGAACCTGAACCCCAGAACTCCAATATGGGGTTCAGACATCCCAAGGGCATCTGAACTGCCAGGCAAATGCCTACCCTGGTTGTCTCTTGAAAACTGGGTTGTGTATCACGGAGTGGCAGCAGGTCCTCCCCTCTGGACTGTATTTTTTACTCTCTTGATGGCAGGGAGGAACTGAATTTTTAAGTTTATGTAAGCACAGCCCTAGACCCTCCCCCTCCCCTCTAAAATGTGTTGTCTTTAAATGGGAGGGAAATGACGTGAGGGCTCTCCGCGTTACCCTGTTCCCTTCCCTCCGTGTTCTGGACAGAACTGAAGAACGGCACGTGTCTGCCGGAATTCCTGGAACTGTTTTTGCTCTCCAGTGACACTCCCTTTCTCCTCCAGTCTTCATTTTCAACCTTTGGGTTCTAACCCGTCGGTGACTGCCAACCAGTGTTTTTCTGAAACAGGACATGGTAGTTTATTAAACAAGTGAGGTGTCTCATGAAACTTCTCTCACACACAGATGAGGAGAGTTTCGTGCCCTGGGTGACAAACTGCACTGCGATGGAAGGCGTCTCAGGAGTCCTGTAATGAGAGTTTGAGGCCTGCCTTGTGGCGTAGTGGTTACAGCCACCACCTGCAATGCTGGCTTCCCTTAGGGGCAACAGTTCGTGTCCCAGCTGCTCCACTTCCGATCCAGCTCCCTGCTAATGGCCTGGGAAAAGCAGTGGAAGATGGCCCAAGTGTTAGGCCTCCGCTACCCGTGTGGGAGACCCTCAACTAAAACCTTTGGGGGAAAGAAGCAACAGCTTTGGGCACTGGAAAAGGTAACTATATGCTACCTAAATTGGGCTTCTCAGGCTTTTTTTTTTTTTTTTTTAAAGGCAGAGTTAGAGATGGAGAGAAATCTTCCATCTGCTGGTTCACTCCCCAAATGGCTGCCATGGCCAAGGCTGGGCCATGCTGGGCCTCCCATGTGGGTGCAGGGGCTTAAGGACTTGGGCCATCTTGACCCATTAGCAGGCAGCTGGATCAGGACACAGACCGGTGCAGTAAGGGAGGCCGGCCTTGCAGGCAGTGGCGTAACCCGCGGCATCACAACACCAGCCTTGCCTGAGGTTCTGTCAAGGTAGGGATACACGCGAGCCATGCAGGAGAGCAGTCACAGAACGCCCACCGGGATCTCAGACTTGGCAAGCTCTATTTCCTCCTTTGTAAAGTTACACGTACTTTACAATGAGTAACACGTATGGAACACGTACTTTACACGTTCCCTTACAGTGCTGTAAGGACTGGAAACAACTGTTTTTAAAGCACTTAGCACGTAAAAGGAAGTAAAGCAATGTTAGCTGTGGCATTTTAAATACACCAAAGACTTCACTATTCAAAACCCACTACTCTAAAGCCGTAGTTAGTACGTACTTCAGCTGCTACATACATGCAGGTCTACAGTGTGTCCTCCCTGTCCAGACTCCGTGCCCCTTCCCTTCACGCTGGGCCCCACCTTCTGTTCTAAGCCACTGTAAATGACTCCACCTCTGGCGCTGGCATTCGGTGCACTCGCTGCCTAGAAGGACCCTGACGCCGGCACGGCTTCTCCTTCCCATTTCCCTCCTTTGTCCAAACGTCCCCGCTGAGGAGCCGTCCTGATCACCCTTTGAAACAAGTTCTCCTGACACTGCACTGCCTCACCCGAATTTTCTTCAGGGCACTGACGTGTATTCATGTTTCATCTCCTTCCAGATGTTCTGAATCCTGCAGCTCCCCAGCATCCAGGATAAGGCCTCGTGCAGAGCAGCCACTGAGTGAAAACGTACTGGATGGGTAAATGGTGAGTTAGCTAGTTCCTGGGGAATCTGTTAGAGTTAACCAAACTGAGTAACCGGAAAACACGGCAGAACTGTGACTGAAAGCTAATGGGGCTGGTGTGGCGCAGCTGGTTAGGCCCTGCTGCAGCGCTGGCCTCCCGTATCTGAGCGCAGTCCCAGCTGCCCCTGCCTACCCCCTGCTGCAGCGCTGGCCTCCCGTATCTGAGCGCAGTCCCAGCTGCCCCTGCTGGTCCAGCTTGCAGCTGACGCACCTGGGAGGCAGCAGCTGACAGCCATCCCCATGGGAGACCCAGATGGAGTTCCAGGCTCCTGGCCATGTGAGGAGTGAACCAGCGGATAATCTCTCTTCCTGTCTTCTCCCTTTCTGTTACTCTGCCTCTCACCTAAATAAATCTTCAAAAAAAAAAAAAAAAAAAAAGGCTAACAAAACACCCGAGCGGCAAGGAACCCACAGAGTCAAATCACATCAGCTCTCGGGCAGGCAGCTGCTCCACGTACCTTTTGCTTCCTTCATCGTCAGAGAAACAATTCTTCGTAGTGTCTGATCAGCTCTATGAAGGACATTAGCTGAACAAATAATCCTGTCTGCTTCCTGTGTAATACACACACTGTTATTACAAGTTATGTAGTTTTTTTAAAAACAATATTTGAAAAAGTTGTATAGAAAGAGGTAGACACAGAGACAGAGGGGTCTTCCATTTGATGGTTCACTCCCCAGATGGCTGCAATGGCCAGAGCTGAGCTGATCCGGAGCCAGGAGCTTCATCCAAGTCTCCCACGTTGGTGCAGGGGCCCAAGGACTTGGACCATCATCCACTGCTTTCCCAGGCCACAGCAGAGAGCTGGATCAGAAGTGCAGCAACCGGGACTCGAACCAGCGCCAGCCCCTGACTATGTAGTTCTATAAAAGAAATGGCTAAAGTTTAAGTGACTTATTTGAAGAGGCTGAAAGATAGGGCAGCTTTTCTGCTCACCATCCTTGCCTGGGGAGGCCCGCGTGGACTGAACCCCTAGGCCGGGGCACGCTGCGGGGCATCTGTCCAGGGACTGGCCCTCCGGAAGGACACAGGGAGAAGACCCGGACCTGCCTGTGGTCGTGTCAGCTTCCGTGGGGCGGGCGTTGCCCTCCTCGCGCGTTTCCAGCTACCACCATGACGCCTCGGGCCTCCCACTCCTGCCGTGCACGCTGCCTCCAGGGGCAGGAGCCGAATGCTGGTGAAAGGCCAGCCCGTGACCCAGCAAAGATCATCTGAGGGGAAGGGATTTGTTAGATTTAACCAAACTGAGTAAACGGAAAACATGGTTGGAACTGTGACTGAAAGCTAATGGGGCTGGTGTGGTGCTGTGGCAGAGTGAGTGCCACCTGGGGCATCCCATTTGGGCGATGGTTCAAGTCCCGGCTGCTCCACTTCTGATCCAGCTCCCTGCTATGGCCTGGGAAAGCAGTAGAGGATGGCCCAAGTCCTTGGGCCCCGGCACCCATGTGGGAGACCTGGAAGAAGCTCCTGGCTCCTGGCTTCGAACTGAAGTAACACCTCGACAGTAGGGACTCCATTTTGGAGCAGCTGAGACTCCATCTTGACAAAGCACCCCTCCACACACACACTGCGAGATTCTGGTCTGAAACTATGACCTAAAGCACTCAGACAACAGCAGTCCACTGCATCCCACCTGGCAACCTGCATCCCACTTGGCAGAGCACAGGAACCCCCTAGCATGATTGCTTAAGCTTGGATGTGGATAGGCTGCACCTGGGTTAATGATGAAAACGTAATTTGTCTATGTCCTACCTATGATTTAAACCAGTACCTGGATTAACATCAAGATTATAAATTAAAATTGTTAAGATTGTAACTGGTATTGTCAGATTATAATTGATACTAGTTTCGCACACGTTTAGGCCAGCTTGACCCCAGTAACCATGTAGTCCCCTCCCGATTTTGTGGCTTTTGCCTTTATAAACCCTGTTGCTTTGGGCTTCAGGGTGGAGAGTTCGTTAGGGCATGAGCCCACTCGCTACCGCCGGCAGTAGAGGACCATCAGATTGTAGCAGCGTGTGGTGCCCCTCGTGTGTACTCGCTCAGGTACATTTTGGAGGTCCCAGCAAGATATGGAGACCACCTTCCACCTATGGAAGACCTCGCTCCAATCCTTCCAGGTTGGTGCTCTGGCCATAGGGGAGGTGCCCCGATGATGTTCCAGGGCCCTGATTCACCAACCTGGGAGGCTTGGCTCAACCTCTTCACCAACCAATTGGCCTTAGGTCCTCTGGTAATTCAACTCCTATTTTCTGGGGGCACCTTCTGGGTATTGGCGGTCTGACGAGACACCGATACAGTCTCCATTCCGTTTGAGCACGACAGCGTTAGGTCTGGTTAAAGAAAGGCCTTTCCTGGAGGTCCTGGTTTCTGTTCCTGTTTCGTAGCCACCTTCCGATGTACTGTCCGCATTCATGATCCGGGAGGTAAATTCTTCTCCCTGTCCTGCCTGTCTCCGTTATTCCCTGTCTCTGGCGTCTCTGTTCCTTCCCTGAACATGAGCTCTGCTCAGTCTAAGGGACACCTTTCCAGTGTATGTTCAAAAATGTCTCTTTTAAATCTAAAAAGATTGCTGCCTTAAAAACTGCCTTGTAACTTGCCAAAGTTCTGTGGCTTGGTTTGTACAGATCTCGATGAAAAATAACAGTGGGTGATCAGCCCCGACGTGGATTTTTTCAATCTCTGGTTTATGTCATTGATTTCTAGCTGGAGTTTTATAAAAAGTAAAATTCCATGTAAGTGTAATTTTGACCTTAATTCAGATAAAGGTATGATATAATACCAACATCTGAAGTCATCGAGGTGTAACTGCTAAATATAAATTGGGTGAAAGTAAATGAGATGAATGTGTCTAACAAAAATGTTTTCATTAGAGTCCATATATAAAGAATAATTCAAGGCTGCTTAAAAATAACTAAGGTTAAAATTTGACGTGATATCTTATTTTAAAAATGTTGTCTTAATTTACAGATTTTTAAAAGATTATTTCAATATAAATCAAGAAGTCAGCAGATAAAAAGTGGTCACAAGTATAAAACTGTTCTTAGTAAGGAAGGTTAAGAAAGAAAGAGGTTTAAAAATCGGGTTTAAGTTATAAAAGGTGTGAGAAAGTCACAAAAGGTAAAGAAAAATTTTCTGGATACAAAAGCTGTTAATTAAAATCTGATCCTCTTATAACAATGGAGCTTTTGTAACACATATATGTTAAAATAGTCTTTAAAATCTGTTTAAAAACTACAGCATCTCCTTTTAGTAGTTTTATTTAATGGCTGACTCTGCCGTTTTCTAGCCAGATCCGGGAAGCTCTCTTCTCTTTCCTGGCTCTGACTCTGTTACAATTGCTCCGAGTTATGGGATGATTCCATGTGCTAACTTGTATTTAAGGATTTTACTTCCCATTTTTGTGACAAACATCAATTTTGTATCCTATTGATATTCTCTGTCTCTCCTTAAATTCTGATTGATTGAAATTCTTTTTATTAAAAAATGATGGTCTGGTTAAATATATACTTTCTAAAGCATTTAAATGATCACTGTGTAACACTAATAAAGTCTGGTCTGTATCAATGCTACTCATCAAATGTCCAAAAGTTAGAAAAGTCTAATAATTTTGTTGTTATTAGTCACAATGGTTTTCTTAATAAGAAAAGGCCCAGAGGACTAAAAAGGGATACACGTTCAATAAAATTTTACAGGTACTTTCTAAAATACTGTGTGAGGTAAACAAGTGCCTCTTCCTGTTGGTTAAGTTTTATAATTTTAACCACGGTCCTTTAAAGCCTTTTGTCATTCACAGTTTTGTGTTTTCCTCTAAACACTAAACGTCAGATTTACTGCTCATAAAAATTAAAACATTGTTGGTTCTGTGTTCAAATGTGTCCTCTTTTAGGTTTCAAAAGACTTCTTTTTCCTACCTTTATCATATTCAGTACTTTTGTATGGCTCTACAAATAGATAAAGCCAAAGTTTAACAGGTTCCAACTAAAAACGTATGGTTAATTCAGGTTACTAAACACAGAAAGCAATTCTAATTAATTAGTAATCTAAAAAAACAGTTAAAGATCTTAAAAAGCTGTTACTAAGCCTGCTCTATTGTTCTATCCTGTAATGTATGTTATGTGTTGTTATATGAGTACATTTTGTATGTCTACATAAAAATGTATTAAGAGCTCTGTTTTAACTAACTTATAGATATAAGATTGCTCATAAATTCAAACTACTAAGTTAGCCCAAAATACATTTTTGGTTCACATGACCTAAATAAACCTCTGTATCAGGTGTTTTAAACTTAGTGATACAGAAAAACCAAAAATGATTAAGTCATTGACATGTTTATGCTTGAGTTTGCTGGACAAACAAGTTGCACTTGTGCTAGATTTTCAAAGTGTATTTCCAACTACAGACACTCCTATAATTTATAAAAGACTTTAGACTTGTTAGTAAATACTTTTTTATTTTATTTTTTTTAATTTTATTTTTTTTTTGACAGGCAGAGTGGACAGTGAGAGCGAGACAGAGAGAAAGGTCTTCCTTTGCCGTTGGTTCACCCTCCAATGGCCGCCGCGGCCAGCGCGCTGCAGCCGGCGCACCGCGCTGATCCGATGGCAGGAGCCAGGAGCCAGGTGCTTCTCCTGGTCTCCATGGGGTGCAGGGCCCAAGCACTTGGGCCATCCTCCACTGCACTCCCTGGCCACAGCAGAGGGCTGGCCTGGAAGAGGGGCAACCGGGACAGAATCCAGCACCCCAACCGGGACTAGAACCCGGTGTGCCGGCACCGCTAGGCAGAGGATTAGCCTAGTGAGCCGCGGCGCCAGCCTTAGTAAATACTTTCATAAGTTATTTGACAATTAAAACTGCTTGCTAAATTTTCACTTAATATGAAATTATTAACAGTAAGTAATCTAAAAAGCCTGTATTCTCTTCAAGATGAGAAACTGATTCTATTCTAAATTCTCCATCAGGACATACAGTTTGACCTTCAGACCTTATAAAAGTAATGACTAACATTTTTCTGTTGTCGTGCCTGGCCACATATAACAGCTAGATTTATTTTGCCATAAATACAGTAAACAGACAAAACCTCCCTTTTCCAATCAAACTAATAGAGAGATACAGAGTCTTACTAATTGGTTCAAAATGGTTTAGATAAAGTGGTCTTCATGTTTGATCTTATACATGCCTGTGACAATACATTTCTAGCCCAGGCCACCAAAGATTAGTGATGGGATTGAGCACCCCTTGGCTAACATCCTAAAGGTCTCCTCTGTGGTCTACTTTAACAAGGACCGGGATGAAGAGGAGTGAGATGGACAACAGTAATGTAAGGATAGGTGACAGCCAATTAATAACGGCTGTACACAGTGATCTGCCATCAAGGAGACCCAGCAAGGCCATCCACCCTGAATGGCATTGGTTTTCGACGTGGAAAGCCAGGGCTTCAGACAGACGGCAGTCACGACAGAAGCCCGCCTCTAAAGAGCCCCGGCAGCTCTGCCATCCCAGGGCTGGGACACTGGAAACGGAGTTTCCCTGGAGTCGCAGGACCCCTAGGTCAGAACCACAGGCCTTCTTGGCTCTAAGCTGAAAAGCCCTTCGTTCTGCCCAGCTTCCAAAGTGACCCCCACCATCAGGGGGACATAGGGTCAGTAACATTGCAGACAGAGCTGTAGGTTTGCTTTTAGAGATCTTGCCTCTTCTATACTGACCTCCTGTTCAGTCCAGCTCTGCTCCCAGGCCAGCTAGGAATTGGGAGTCAACAGGGTGCCTGCCCTAAGGAGATTCACACCTCCTTTATGATGTCTCTTCCAATACCCCATGTAATTATCAAGCCCTTCATGTTGGTTTGTTTGCATCTAAATTAAAAAAAAAAAAAAAAAAGAAAAGAAAAAAAAAAACAACTCCCTCCTGGTTTGGATAACACCTTTCATAGGTCCTCTAATGACTCTGTCCTTTGTTGTAGACCCTGTGTGTTTAATCTACTTGTTAGATTTGTTTTCTCCAGATTTAAAGCAGTACAACTCTAGATGGCCATCACATGAAACCTTGGATGAAAACAGTTTCTGCAAGCTGACACTGCAGCCCCCTCGAAAGGCCCCCTCCTGCTAGAACCCTGTTTTGGCTGCCATTCCCCACGCCACACCCAAGATGAGATCAACACCCTGGGTCCCTACAATAGTACGGTGTGGATTTAAAGAGGGGGAGGATTGCGGCTGTCTGGTTGGGCTGTCTGTGGGCACCTGAGACTCCATCTTGACAAAGCACCCCTCCACACACACACTGCGAGACTCTGGTCTGAAACTATGATCTAAAGCACTCAGACATCAGCAGTCCACTGCATCCCACTTGGCAGAGCACAGGAACCCCCTAGCATGATTGCTTAAGCTCGGAAGTGGATAGGCTGCACCTGGGTTAATGATGAAAATGTAATTTGTCTATGTCCTACCTATGATTTAAACCAGTACCTGGATTAACGTCAAGATTATAAATTAAAATTGTTAAGATTGTAACTGGTATTGTCAGATTATAACTGATACTAGTTTCGCACACGTTTAGGCCAGCTTGACCCCAGTAACCATGTAGTCCCCTCCCGATTTTGTGGCTTTTGCCTTTATGAACCCTGTTGCTTTGGGCTTCAGGGTGGAGAGCTCGTTAGGGCACGAGCCCACTCGCCACCGCCGGCAGTAGAGGACCATCCGATTGTAGCAGCGTGTGGTGCCCCTCGTGTGCACTCGCCCAGGTGCAACAGAATCAGCCCAGCTCCAGCCTGTGCAGCCATCTGGGGAGTGAACCAGCGGATGGACATCTCTCTCTCTCTCTCTCTCTCACTCTGCCTTTCAAATAAATAAATCTTAAAAAAAAATCTCAGGAAAAACTGTTCCCTCTCATTTAGGCTAAATCTCTACTGCATGACTTACCTTTTGTTCCATGTTTTCCTCAACGTATTTTACTGGATTTTCCAATGCAGTAAGCAATAAATCAGTCACTTCCAGGCTATGGAGAAAGTGAGATAAAATACAGTAAATCCTCCTGTGGAACATATATATTTCGAAAGAACTTGTACTTAAGGATACTAAAGTGAATTCTAGAGGAATAAAACTACTATAAACCAGGATCCTTTAAGAAAAGAAAAACTTAGTAACTGGGAAGCTACCTTCCATTTCAAAACCCAAATGCAGGGGCTGGCACAGTGGCATAGTAGGTTAAGCCTCTGCCTACGACACGAGCATCCCATAGAGGTGCCGGTTCAAGTCCTGGCTGCTCTACTTCCAATCCAGCTCCCTGCTAATGGCCTGGGAAAACAGTGGAAAGTGGACCAAGTGCTTGGGCCACTACACCCAGGTGGGAGACATAGAAGCAGCTCCTGGCTCCTGGCTTCAGATCGGGCCAGCTCTGGCTGTTGAGGCCATTTGGGGAGTGAACCACCGGATGGTTCACTCGCTCCGTTACACTACTTCTCAAATAAATAAATCTTTAAAAACAAAAACCCAAATGCAGAAGTTCCAAATACATTACAAAGCAAAAACCTCCAATCCAGCTCCCCGCTAATGCACCTGGGAAGGCAGTGAAGATGGCCCAAGTGCGTGGGCCTCTGCCACGCTCTGGCCTGACCCAGCCCTGGCTGTCATGGCCATTTGGGGAATGAGCCGTTTCTGGAGTGAGACAGCACTGGGTCCAAATCTCAACTCTGCCACTTACTTTATCTACCTGGGCCTCAGTTATCTAGTCCATAAAATGAGGATAATAGTGTTTACCCTCAAACAGTTGTTGTGAGGAAAGACCAGGACAACACAGAAGTGTTTATGGGCCGGGAAAAGTTACATTGATCAAGATCATCACCCAACTTCCAGCACAGGCCCCAGCCTTCGCACAGCCCCCACGTATGCTGGGACCGCTCCGAGTATGAGCACAGGCAACGGGTTCCTAAGGCCCGAGACAGGACTGCAGATTGAGGTGAGGGTTGGTAGTGACCCTGGAGACGCTCCCATTCTCCTTGCTTCCAGCCGAGACAGGGTCTCAGAGATCGCACAGCAGTAACGAGAAACCTCGGCTGCTCCCGCGGGACCACGCGGTACCTGCACAGCCTCTTACTTGCAAAGGAGCAGAGTTAAGACTCAAGAGAGCGGCAGCTGGGATGTGCACCCTCAGACAGGATATCACGACATTAAAACTGGGAACTTCACCAGCGAACTTCCCATACAAAAAATGGTCAATTTTTGTTTGGGGTGTTTTTGTGTTTCCTTTTTTGCTTTGTTTTTAATATTTATTTAGTTTAAAAAAGTTACAGAGAGACCTTCTATCTGTTAATTTACTCTCCAACTGGCTGCAAGAGCCAGGCGGGGCCAGTGGAACCTTGGAGCCTGGAGCTCCACCCAGGTGCCCCACGGGGCTGGCAGGGCCCAAGCTCCTGGCATCTGTGCTTTCTCAGGTGCATTAGCAGGGCGCTGGACTGGAAGCACAACAGTCAGGTCTCAGAGTGCTCATCTGGGATGCTGGCGCTGCGGGCGGTGGCTTAACCTGCCTGGCCACACCGCGGGCCTCTAGGATGCCAGTTTCATAAAATGCAGGGAAACCGTATCCTGGGGACCCAATGCTTTGAGAAAGGAGTTTCAAAAATCAGCTGTTCCCCATGGACAGCAAGCAGGCCGTAAGGAGGGCGGGCTGTAGGACCGCGTGCGCAATGCAGCAGCCCAAGTTTACATGAATGAAAATCGAGATGAGCAGTGGGCCTCGGGCCAGGGTGGAGGGTGCCAGTTGTGGCGCCTGTGTTCACCATGGAGCAGCCGGGCTCAGCGCCTGGCCCTGCCTCCAACTCCCAGCTCAGACGCTGGCAGGCAGCCGGCAGCCGAGCTCCTGTCCCCCGCGCAGGCCCTGGATCGAGCCCTGGCCCAGCCTAGGCTGCTGTGGACCTCCGGGGAGCTCTGTCTCTTGAATGAGTAAGTTAAAAAGTAAAGCAGTGGAAACCCCAGGTGTTCAGCTGCACTCGCTACAGTTAAGGGCTCAACAGGTGACGCGGCAGCTACAGTAAAGTGCAAATACGGATCATATCAGTGACGTCGCTGCCAGAAGTGCCGCACACACATCACAGACAGGAAGCAGCAGGCACCAACGCGCGGCCCCGGACACACGAGCACCATGCCCGCGGGGGCGGGGCAAGCTCTGACACAGGCCGCAGCACTCCTGCCCTCCTCCCTCCCGTCCACTAGGCCACGTCAGCACGCCTATCAGACGTGCCTCCACCTGACTCCCTGCTGCGACCTCTGCAATACCGTGTAATCCTACAGTTACGACTGGACATTTGGGCCAGTGATGTGGAATAAAGGTCAAGCCTCCTTAGGGCCGGCGCTGTGGCGTAGTGGGTAAAGCTGCCACCTGCAGCGCCGGCATCCCATATGGGTGCTGGTTCAGGTCCCGACTGTTCCACTTGCAATCCAGCTCTCTGCTGTGACCTAGGAAAGCAGTGAAAGACGGCCCAAGTCCTTGGGCCCCTGCACCCGTGTGGGAGACCCTGAGGAAGCTTCTGGCTGCTGGCTTTGCATCGGCGCAGCTCCAGCCATTATGGTCAATTGGGGAGTGAACCAGTGGATGGAAGACCTCTCTCTCTGCGTAATTCTTTCAAATAAATAAATAAATCTTAAAAAAAAAAAAAAAAAAAAAAAAAAAAAAAAAAGAAGGTTAAGCTGCTGCCTGCAGTGCCGGCATCCCATATGGGCGCCGGTTCAGGTCCCGGCTGCTGCACTGCCCATCCAGCTCCTGGCTAACGGCCTGGGAAAGCAGCAGAGCATGGCCTGAGTGCTTGGGCCCCTGCACCCGCATGGGAGACCCGAAGAAGCTCCTGGCTTTGGCCTGACCCAGCCCCAGCCACTGTGGCCATTTGGGGAGTGACCCAGCGGATGGAAGATCAATCATCTTACTCTCCTTCTAACTCTGCAATCTAAAAAGAGAAAAAAGTGGACATCTGCAAACAAATTTGCTACCGCAGGTTCAGGGCCTCTCAACAAACAGAAATTTCTCGTTTCCACTTGCATCGCAGGGCGCCTGGCCGGGAGGCGGCCCTCGGCGGGCTACCTGGCCTCGGCAGAGCAGGCTGGCCCCTCCACGGTGAGGCTGCGGCGCTCCCAGGCGTGGGTCCCAGCGTCGGGTCTTTCCAGCCTCGTGTCCATCAGGCGGATCGTCTCCGACGGCAGGGCCTGCGGCCGCCGGCCATTCCGCCGCAGGCAGGTCTCGAGGGGGCAGTCTAAGAAGAGCTGGCAAAAGCCCAGGGAGTCTGCGAACAGGTGAAAACCAGAATCACCGGCTAGCAGGTGAAAACCGCGAGTCACCGCGCGCAGGTGAAAACCAGAATCACCGCGCGCAGGTGAAAACCGCGAGTCACCGCGCGCAGGTGAAAACCGCGAGTCACCGCGCGCAGGTGAAAACCGCGAATCACCGCGTGCAGGTGAAAACCGCGAATCACCGGCGCAGGTGAAAACCACGAATCACCGCGCGCAGGTGAAAACCAGAATCACCGCGCGCAGGTGAAAACCACGAGTCACCGCGTGCAGGTGAAAACCGCGAGTCACCGCGCGCAGGTGAAAACCGCGAATCACCGCGCGCAGGTGAAAACCACGAATCACGGGCGCAGGTGAAAACCAGAATCACCGCGCGCAGGTGAAAACCACGAGTCACCGCGTGCAGGTGAAAACCGCGAGTCACCGCGCGCAGGTGAAAACCGCGAATCACCGCGCGCAGGTGAAAACCGCGAGTCACGGGCGCAGGTGAAAACCACGAATCACGGGCGCAGGTGAAAACCAGAGTCACCGCGCGCAGGTGAAAACCAGAATCACCGCGCGCAGGTGAAAACCAGAATCACGGGCGCAGGTGAAAACCAGAATCACCGCGCGCAGGTGAAAACCACGAGTCACCGCGTGCAGGTGAAAACCGCGAGTCACCGCGCGCAGGTGAAAACCGCGAATCACCGCGCGCAGGTGAAAACCACGAATCACGGGCGCAGGTGAAAACCAGAATCACCGCGCGCAGGTGAAAACCACGAGTCACCGCGTGCAGGTGAAAACCGCGAGTCACCGCGCGCAGGTGAAAACCGCGAATCACCGCGCGCAGGTGAAAACCGC